GGAGGGGGAGCGCGGCGTGGCCGGGGCACGGTGGGTGGTGGGACCGGGCTGCGGGACACGACTTGGCACGGCTCGGCCCGGCACGGTTTCGCTGCCCGACCGACAGAGCTGCCCCGCGCCCCATTGCCCCCCCGCCTTTCCTCTCCGCCCCCCCCCCCTCCGAAGGGCGGAGGACAAAGAGGGCCGGGGGGTCAATAGGGGCCCGAGCAGTACCCAGGTAGAAGTGGCAGCTGCAGGGGTATTTATTCTCCGAGGGGCAGGCAGGCCCCGGGGCCGCGCTCTCGGGGGGTGCCGGGGCGGCCGGGAGGTCCCTGCCCGCCGGGGGCCCCCGTTGCCAGACACCGGTCCTCCCCGGGTCCGGCTTGAGTGCAGCCGAGCTCCGTCACCGGCCTCCTTCTGAGAAAATTAGACCTGACTCTAGCTCTGGAGGCACCGGAGCAGTGGGGTGCTCATTTCCAGAGTGGGTGACTCATGAAAAGGGAGGGAGGAGTGGGTGGCGGACATCCCGCACCTCCTAGTCCCCTCGCACTGAATTGCCTCCGAAAGCGATCAGGCAGCAATCACGAGTGGGGTGCGGAGTGGCGGGGGTGGGAAGCTGCCTGGCCTCGACCGAGCTCCCCTGGAGCGGCGTGGGGCCGGGTGGGCCAGCAGCCGAGCCGGGTGGGCAAGGTGCGAGTCAGGGGACGGCTGGGGACTGTCCTGGGGCGGGAGCCCCCGCACCGCCGTCCGGCAGCACCCTTCCCTCCTCGGGGAAAGGCAGCAGGAGCACACCGCTTGTGACACCCCCCCCCCCCCCCAGACTGGCTTCTGCGCTCCTTCCGCGGCCGAACCCCGGCTCCCGGAGAAGGGGGCTGCAGCCCTGGCCGAGGGCCAGAGGGATGCGCACTGCGCGTTGCTCCGCGCCCTTTCCGCTCCGGACCGCGGGCAAGAACGCGCCCTACCCGCGCATCCCCGGACGGGCTTCACCTCCCCTCACCCCCCGGTGTAATCTTCCTTGGGGATGCGCTCCTCAAGTCACCTTCCCTCACCTGGGGGGCAGGGAGGCCTTTGCACCCCGAGCGGGTTTAAGGCCAGTCCCCCTCCTCGCCCAGGCTGGCGGAGAGCCGCGGGGGCAGCGCGGCCTTTCTCCCCCTCCCGGTGCTCCGCTGCCGCGGTGAGGGGCGGAGAGCGTGGCACCGTGCACCGGGCTCCCCGTGCCCCAGGACTGGGTGACTTCGTGCTGCCGGTCCTCTGTGTCACCTTAAACCGCGTCGCTTTAATGATGCTTGCTGGTAATACTTTCAAAAGACCAAAGCGTGTGTGCGTGGTTTAAAGTCACATTTGTGAGTCGAAAGATGTCACACAACAGACACAACAGTTGGAAGGAGCTGACGAACAACAGGAAACGGGGTTCTATTTTTAGGGTATAATAGGAAGTTAATATAAGCGGCCAGAGGCTTCCTATATGCCTCCGAGCACCTTCTGTTCTATTAATTCATTCATGCGTTCAACAATAACAACGGGGGAAAACAAACATCCCCGTTCCGTTTCTCATCCCCTCCTTCCCGGGAAGTCCTGCTCTGGTGTTTGCACGGGTGGGCTCTGCCAGCGGAGTCCCTCTTTCGGGGCGTTTAGCTCGTTTGTTGGCTGTTGGCAGGGGGGTGGGTGATGGCCGATGGCGTCCCTCAGGCGAGGCTCCCCCAAGATGCTCTCGTTGGGGGGTTCCTGCCCGCAGGGGCTGAGAGCTGCTCTCTGGAAGTCTATATCCCCCCTCCCCAATTCACACCAGAGTCCGGGAGCGTGTTTTCTGTCCCACCCCGACCAGAGCGGCTGGGGAAGTCCGAGAGAAGCTTCTTTCAGGAATGATGTTCGTGTGAGTGTTTTTTCCACGCGAAGCCTATGTATATACATAAAGCGGATCTTGCAACAGGATTTTTAAAAGGGGGC